TTTTTGAATTCGGTTTGCTAATATTTTGTTGAGTATTTGTGCATCTGTGTTCATCAGGGATATTGGTCTGTAGTTTTCTTTTTTGGTGGGGTCTTTGCCTGGTTTTGGTATTAGGGTGATGTTGGCTTCATAGAATGAGTTTTGGAGTATTCCCTCCTCTTCTATTTTTTGGAAAACTTTAAGGAGAATGGGTATTATGTCTTCTCTGTATGTCTGATAAATTTCAAGGTGAATCCATCTGGCCTGGGCGTTTTGTTCTTGGTTAGTTTTTTGATTATCTATTTGAATTTTTAAAAAAGATAGCTGATCGTACTGATCATACTCTTACATACATGTAGGGAATGTCTGGAATTATGCCTAAGAAGTTGTTAGTGATGTTTATTTCTGCACGCTGAAATTGGGTTGGAAGACTTTTACTTTCTATTGGATGTCCTGCACAGTTTATCCTTTTTACATGAGCATATACTAACTACTTTTCTAATTTTAAAACCTCCATAGGTAACTGATTCCTGCCTACCTGTGTTAGGCCTAAGGTGTTGCCTTAGCAGTGGAATGATTTTATAGTCTTATCTGGAGTAGCACAGAAGGACTCAGGTTGATGGATGTCCTTAATGGCAGGCTTTAGTGTTGAAGTCATCAACATTGCTCAGATGATGCTGTGTCTTCTCTTCTGAGATGATGATTATGCACTGTATTTTGCTCCTTCCCACCAGTAAGGTTTTAAAAGAGGAGCTGAAACATTAGAAAAGTGATTACCCAGACATTAATATTCACTAGTGAAGATTCTTCTAGCCTCTGCCTCTCACTGGTGTCTTATGCATTAAGGAATGCAGTCTAGCTTTTGAAACTGGTAGTTTTCTCATAGAATTGTAGTTATCTATACTGAGGGTACAGGTCAGAGCATCAAGGCGCAGAATTCCATTGCTGAGGACCCGCAACTGTTAATGGCAAACCAGTTCTAAAACCCAGCTCTTGTGACTTTGTCCAGTTATTGCCTGTTCATTCTTTCATACCGCTTTCCTTTTGAGCATGCCCAGGGGGTAGGGGAGGATGGCAGGGATCTAGTATCATGCTCCCATCTTGAAATAGTGATGCAGATGCAGTGGAGAAAGCTTTGTCTTTTCCCTCCCTTCCCACAAAACACTGGAAATTTCTTTGGCCGTCAAAAAGCACACTTTGTTCCAGAGAAAGGAGAACCCTAACCTGAAGGCCCATAGTTCATGAGGTAGTAAAAATGTTTTGAATTTTTATTAATAACCTCTCAAGTAATTGTTTTGTACAGTTATTTACCCACTTACAGTGGCTGATAATGTAAAAGGAAGTTTTTTGTCTGTTTTTAAAAATTTGTTAGATTTTGTTAGTATAATTGGTATATATTGCTGAACTCTAGGTAATGAGTGTAACTGAATTAAAGAAGACATTTTTGTAATTTAAAAAATGAGCTTGTTTTCTTCTAGTCTAATGGATGGGATCCCAATGATATGTTTCGATATAATGAAGAAAATTATGGTGTAGTGTCTACATATGATAGCAGTTTATCTTCATATACGTAAGTTTTAAATTTTTGCTTTTATTGCATTTGTCTTTGATTTTCATCATCTTAAATTATGATGTTGAATAAATGTCTCTGTTAGTTTTAAGTTAAAAAATTATGTAAGAGAATCCTGTTAACTACCTAGCCTGATAAATTCCCATTAAAACAGAGAATAAGTGTAGTTTAACTATACCCTAATTTTATGCCCTAAATAAATTATGGTTTTTTTCTGGTTTTTTCTCTAGGGAAAAGATAACAAAAAATTTCAGCTTTTGATTTATACATAAGTAGACCATTGTAACTGTCTTACACTTTTACCAGCATTTCAAACTCTAAACTCTCTTAGTAGTTGACTGTAACAGTTACATAAGATATGACTTTAAAACACTCACTTTGCTTTTTCTTTTCCTCATCTTTCAGAGTACCCTTAGAAAGAGATAACTCAGAAGAATTTTTAAAACGAGAAGCAAGGGCAAACCAGTTAGCCGAAGAAATTGAATCAAGTGCCCAGTATAAAGCCCGGGTGGCCCTGGAAAATGATGATAGGAGCGAAGAAGAAAAATACACAGCAGTTCAGAGAAATTCCAGTGAACGTGAGGGCCACAACATAAACACTAGGTATTTAAAGGAAATCATGATGCAGTATTTTGGATACACAACTCAAGGTCTGTGTGAGAAGGTGTATTGTTATTATTACATTTCATCTTCCTTTAACACAGCTTAGGTAGAGAATGCAAATGGAAAGAAATGGTTTAAGATTCTGCTAGAGAAAAGATTACAGTAATCTTGGAAAATATTTTTTGAGCATCAGCTCTGTGGAGCCAAGTGTTGGATATATACAGTGATGAGCAAGCCAAGGTTTGGAAGAGCTCATTAAAGAATAATGATCAACTGGGGGCAGGGGGGTCAGTGGTACATGTAACGTAATAACTGTTCAATATGTTTTGCTAGATTAGAGGTATGTTCAAATTACTAGTAACATCAGAGTGAGGAGGAACTAGCATAACTTGTGGGGTTAGAGAAAGCCTCATGGAATTCGTGACATTTTGTGATAGGACAGTAGATCTGTCTGCAACTCAAAAGTAAGAGAGGAATTCCTCACATGGCTAGAAGACATGTAAAGGAACCTGGTCAGCTGAGAGCAAGGCTGGTTGTTTCCTATGTCCGGGATACAGCTGCAGGTTGAAGGTGCAGTCTGGGCAGCTGGTGATATGAACTGAGGTGAGAAGGACCATGTGTGTCCTATTAAAGAGCACCTTGTAGGCAGTGGGTGGGATGAATGAACTCTGGAACACTGAGAACTGGTTGAAACATGGACATCACTTAGTGTATTGAAATACAGTTCAAGTGTGAGAACTTGGTAACCAGTTAGACCAGACCTGGTGATAGAAAGGTTAGGAAAAACAAGGGGTGATCCTTAGATTTTTTTTGATAGCTAAGTGGATTGATGGTTGTCCTTGTAATGGAGATAGAAAACATGGAGCAAATGTGAGAGTATTCATTGCATCCATTTGAGCAGTTTATTACATTTGAGGGGCTTGTGAGCCTTGAATTTATTCATAAATGTATTGAGAAACACCTGCCAGAGAAAGATACACATCCTATCTCCAAGGCACTTGCAGCTTAGTCTGGTGATTTGAATTAAAGTGTTCAGTAGCAAATGTTGGGACTGTGGGACTGACAAGGTTTGGGATTCATCAGCATTGTTGGTATTGGATGAAAAACTGTGAAAAACAAATGAATAGCCACAAAGAGAAGAGATCTCAGAATGAAGAATGTTTCCGGAAAATAGACTGTGATTGATGGAATCAGCCATAAAGAGGCCAAGTAGGATGAGAATAAACACACATCTGTTAAATTTTGCACTTAAGAGGAGAATCTGAAGGAAAGGAAAGGCCAGAGACTAGAAATCAGCATAAGATGGAAGGGTAAGATGGAGATAGGGGTGTCTGTGAGTGAGGCAGTTTGCTTTAAGTGCTAAACATTTTTTTAACAAGCATTCCCTTCTGCCTAAATTACTTTCAGATTGTTTCGTTGGCCTGGTACCTATTAAGACAAAATGATTTAGAGACTCTCTCATTTTCAGGGAAAATAAATATATTCCTCCTGGGCAAAGAAATAGAGAAGTCATATCCTGGGGAAGTGGGAGACAGAGTTCACCACGCATGGGCCAGCCTGGATCGGGCTCCATGCCATCAAGATCCACCTCTCATGCTTCAGATTTCAACCCGAGTTCTGGTTCAGACCAAAGAGTAGTTAATGGAGGCAAGTATTTTGACCAAATTTGTCAGTCATCAAACAAATACAGTTTTCTATAAAATATTTAAGTTTACATAATTGATAGGTATGTGCACCTTCAGTGATTTCTGTGGAGTAGTTTTTACTTCAAAACTAAAGTTTGCCTTTGTGGAATTAACAAAATCAGTGATAATTAGTATAAGTCATTGGCATATGTGGTATTTATATGATGAAAATCTCATGTATTAAAGTGCTAAATTTAATCAAAGACATTGACTTGGCCAAAACATACTCCACATACAAAGAAATTGGAAACTTTGAGTAGGTTCTCAGTTTTAAAAACACTGGATGGTAAAATTATTTAACATAGTTTATATGGAAAATTCTTAATCTGTGTGAAATACTCAGTGGTTGATATAGGTTTATTTTTATTAACTGATTATATATGTATATTCTTATTACTTCAAGAAAAGATTTGAGGTAACCTAGAATATCAGACATGACCAAGAGTCAGGTGAAGAAGGTGAAGAAAAAAATATGCTTTAAAAAACACAAGAACTCACAGTGTACAGGTGGATGTTGTAGTTCAGTTTCAAGTATTAGAAGTAAAAGAAATTTACATCTTTGGTAGGAAGATAATTTTCTCTATTACCTCTAAATCTGGATTGAATATATAGTTCATAGGTCATGGATATTTCACATGAGTCTGGGATACCGGATGGCAGTACTGTTGGCGGTAAGGAAGTATAGTAATTAATAATAGCAATAATATGTTACTAAAAATGGGAGTTTAATTATAGATATTTAAGGTTGGAAAGTTAAAAAAAAATAGAGAACACTAAGTTTCCAATTTCATTTGTTTTCACTGAGTCTTTCTCCAGAATTCCTCTCCAAATGAACACTCTTGAGTATTTTCTATAAGTATTGGGGGTGAAATTTCTTTGCTCACTGAGTAAGGAATTTTAGTTGTTCATGAACAGAATTCTCAAAGTAAAAAACCTGAAGGGGGCTGGGGAAGTGTATATACTCAAGTGTGTGGAACGTTATGGAGAGGAGACCTGGACTATTCCCTAGATTCAGGTAAGTGATGGGTCATATTCCACATTAGTTGTATTTTGACCTGTGCATATCCATCAGTGTCAGTTTATATGGTGATGACTGCTCTGTAGTTGCATTTATTCTAAGCAGTCTCTCAAATAACTGTTTAACTGTGTACTTTAGAAGATCCCCCTTCTTTTTCTAATTTGATAAGATTAAAATATTTTTTGAAAAGGTAGCGAATATTAACCTTTGTCACTCCTGTGACTCTGGAAAATAGAAGTAATGTTTTTTTATTTTTAGTTAAATGGACTTGCTTACTGAGGTTTCACACTGAACCTTACATACAAGTGTGAACTAGGTAAAAATCACAGATGGTTAAAAGAAACCAGCATTTTGAATGGGATATAATATCTGCTGTTTATTTTATTATGTTTCAAAAGTTAAAACAAATAACAGTAAGTAGTCTTATTCCTGAGTTTTATAATTTATTGTGTGAAATTATCTAGTGTATGTTATATTCCTTTTATATTCCTTTTAACAATTACTGAGAAAAAGTTACAGAAGCAGGATTAATAGGCAAAGTCTTAACTGTCTTCTTCAGTAGTATGTGTAGATCCTAATTAACCCTTTGGGAACGTGTATTCATTTAAACAGACTTAATTTTAAGGAGGTTAAAGTAAAATGTGAATTTATGTCAGTTAAGTTATGCTAAAACTTAGCACAAATCAAATGACTGTCCTCAAAGGGTTAAAATGTACAAGAAATCATTTTTGTCATTTTACTTTTTTTCTGTTTACTTTTTTCCCTCATTTTTTTCTTTAGTTTTTATACTTTCCTTCATATCATTTGTTCTGTCAGGTGTTCCCTGGCCATCGCCTTGCCCATCTCCTTCCTCTCGCCCACCTTCTCGCTACCAGTCAGGTCCCAACTCTCTTCCACCTCGGGCAGCCACCCCTACACGGCCGCCCTCCAGGCCCCCCTCGCGGCCATCCAGACCCCCGTCTCACCCCTCTGCTCATGGTTCTCCAGCTCCTGTCTCTACTATGCCTAAACGCATGTCTTCAGAAGGTACAATACCACAATTTGTTCATGTTTTTGTTTGTCTTTGTTTAACTCCTATGTTAGTTTATAATTACAAAATAGTTTCCTCTTCATTATTTAATAACCTATGATTTCCGTGTTTTAACTTAAGTTTATTAAAGCTATTTCTATTACCCTTTTGTTCATTAGAGAGAAATTTGATAAATGCTGTATGACGTTATGAACTATCCTGAATTGTAAGAATGGGGTGTATCTCTGCCTGGTAATGATGCTCTCCTGCAGCCCCGTAGTCCTACTCCAGGGCCTTCTCCCTCCCAGTTTATACTGTACACAGTAGTTAATGGAAATAAACTTTCTCCATCCAGTGCTGGACTTTGTGTAGAACCTATCATTACATAGTTCCTTGACTCCAAGGTACTAGTGAACCTACCTGTTGGCCAGAAGCACGAGTGGTAGCATAGGGGTCCTCTGGAGAGGGGCATTCCATGTAGCTGCTTTGTGTGCCTGCCCTTAGATGTCAATCCAGAGTTTGGTTTTATGTTTGGGAATTAAAAAAAAAAATTAGCCGTGCAATATTTATAATGAAAATATACTTTAATCTGTAAGAAGTCCTGATTAAAGATAAAATTGTTACTAAAAACCATATGAGTTAGAATCTTTAGGGAATTTTTTTTTTTGCCCTTGTCAAAAAAAGAATAAAATCCTGTAATTGTCATTCAGTATTTGATGCTAAATCCATCATTGTTACATCTCAAATGTAGGGATGTATTGTAGAAAGGTCACATTTTAGTTTAAATGCAGTGCATAAATTAAAAACCTGATTTTTGAGTAATAATGTCCTTTTGATATTATTTCAAAGTATGTTAAAATTTTGATCTGATTTGTTCATTAAAATTGTAGTTGATGATAGCTTATGTTGAGACTAATAATAGTTCTCTGGCATAAAGTGCTTCTCTGGAGAAAACTATCTTGGTTGCCATCCAGTCAGGGAAGTCATGTGATCTTGATTAATGGGGCTAAATTCAGAAAAGCCATTGTACTGATTTTCAAGGTAACTTCCTTACTCAGAAGTGTCTATAATGGTGGCCACTAAATGGAAAGTTAAATTTTGTTCAAGTGTTTTTAGCAGTCCATTTGAGTAAGTGATGTTCAGATCATGAAAATGTTAGATAAAATGACTGTGAGTGGACCATTTTCACTGCAGTGAGACCTAAGGCCCTTGGGGGCTGTCACACAGAAGCACACCTTCTGCATGTTCAGGGATGCTGCACTAGTCCATGTTTCTTTTTAACAAATTTGGATTAAAATACATTTTCTAGTGTCATATAGTTGACAGTGAAACAGTGTTTAAGTGTGAACTTCAAAAGTAAAACTATTAAATATAGTGCTTTTCTGCGTTTGATATGAGAGTATGTTTTGTTCCTGTATTTTATATATTACCAGAAAGAATGAATTTTTAAATGTTTCAGTTTGATTGCATTGAGCTATGCCAACTGACTTTCTTGGTCTTTTTCTATAAAAGTATATAAAAAATGTATATAAATATGCAAATACCCACTTCTTAAATAATTCTTTGATATAAATAATTATCTCCTATTGAGAACTATAATATATATAACATTTAACATTCTTATGGAGATTGTGTCCATGATTAAATTCCAACTGAGGATGCAAATTAATTTGACATTCTAGAGAGTTTGGCAGCAAGGCGTGAGGGTGAGGAACCTTAGCTTTGACATTAAGAATGAGTTTTGCTGAGTGTTAGCACTGTCAGACTTCTCTGAAGAGAGCCATCTGTCTGGCCACTGATTCACCTGTTTTCTTCAAATGCACAATAGACTTCTTTAGAAATAGAAATCACTAGTGGGGTGACAGAACTAGTAATACAGAGTTTTGACAGATCGTATAATGTAAATTTCTTCCCCAAATGTCAATTATTGACAAGTCATGCCTTAGCAGTACAGTGTTCAGCTTACAGCCTGTTGGGAAAGTCTGAGAAACTACTTACAAGTGAGGGCTGTTTAAGCCATGGTTTGTAAAATTAATTACAATGGCAGAAGAGATGAACTAAGATTTTTGGAAAATTTAGGAGTGGTATATATATATATATATTTTTTTTTTTAATAGTACAAAATATGTAGGAGTTAACAGTCTTTTGTTTAAAAATGTATTTTTTTCTAACTTTAGAAGTAATGTAGATAGGGAAAAAGCTAAACATGTGTGGTATAAAAGTTACTGCATCATGTAGCCATAATTTCTATTAAAATTTTACTATATTTGATTTTTATATGCATACAAATAATGGAATAGATAAAATAAATTACTGAAATCTTAGAAGAGTTATGACATCTTATTGTTTGATTTCTTACCACCAACTTCATCCTTCCCTTTCTGTAAAGATAAAGGGAAATAAAATTTAATTCTAGAACTTTGTGGCACTCCATAAGATAATTTTGGAAGACCTTATGTAAAAAATAAGTAATCATTTTTATTTTATTTTTTTAACTAAGAAACTCTAGAGAGAGAAGGTTCGTGTGTGTGTGTGTGTGTGTGTGTGTGTGTGTGTATGTGTGCGTGCGTGCGTGTGAGAGAGAGAGAGTGAATGGGGTGTATGTATTTAGCGAACAGTACTGCTGATAGACATTGTGGCATTTATGTGATGTTCACTGTTCCTTTCTTAGGGCCTCCAAGGATGTCCCCAAAGGCCCAGCGACACCCTCGAAATCACAGAGTTTCTGCTGGGAGGGGTTCCATTTCCAGTGGCCTAGAATTTGTATCCCATACCCCATCAAGTGAAGCAGCTGCTCCTTCAGCAGCAAGGACTAGTCCTGCGGGGGGCACCTGGTCATCAGTGGTCAGTGGGGGTAGGTAACACTTAGAACATAACAATGGTGTTCGTTTTGTAATTCTAAAGGGCTGAGCTCAAACACTCGTTGAAGAAGTATAAGTGTGTACGTTAAAAATAGTGGAATTACCAGGAATTGGAAGCCTTTATTTTTATTCTGGGCTCACCATATGTTCACCGTATGTTAGAGCAAATTATGTGACCATTCTGAATTTCAGTTTTTCCAATGAGTAACGTAATTTTTGCCTAGTCTACTTCATGGACTTGTGATGAGATTCATATGAAGTTCATAAGTATGTATGTATCTTAGAGTTCTATAAAGTACAACTCAAATATGAGGTAAATACAGAATGTAACACCACTTGGAGGGACCATATTTCTGATCTTCTTGGCAACTTTGTTCATTGATTCATTCCACAAACATGTATTTTGGGTTTACAATGCTGTGTGTTTCTATAGCATCTGTATATGGCGCTAAGGAATGTGCTGACAATAGCTATAAAAATGTAAAAAAATAACTGACAAGATCATAGTTAGGCTAAGGCTACTTTTACTACTTAATGTTTTGCTTCCATTGTAACTGGCGGATTAGAGCATGCAGTGAGGGCAGTTTTTTGGTCATAATCTATTTTAATCAGTGTATAGAACCTTTAAAAGAGAAAAGATCTTTAAGCCTAAGCAAAAATATATCCAACTCTATTAAATGTCTTTAGTTGGTATATACTAATCATCATCATGTATATTTTACTGTAAATCCTTTGGCTTTCTATTTTCTTCTTTGGTCTTCAACGTTAGGAAATAGCAATTCAGTTAAAATGCAATTCCTAAAATCTTTGTTTCTTCAGTTGTACCATTAATCATTTGAACTTCTTAGATGATCTGGAAATGAATTTTGAGAGTAGCAAAATGGTTTTAGAAGTGAAAGTAAAAACGGTTGTTAGAGATACATGCAGAGCAGTGTTATAGGTTCGCTCTTTACATAAATTAGAAAAATGACAACTGTTGAATAATAGCTTCCTTCCATGTCCCTTGTAACTTAAAACAGTAAAGAACCACTAAGGTGAAACATATTGAACTATTTTCTCTAAATCTTTGTATCTGAGTTCTACCAAGAGGTTAATAATAATGGAATATGAAATCTATTAGTTATTTTGAAGTCATGTGGAATATGAATCCCTGCTTGGATTATCTTCCCCTTTTGACTGAATTGGGTCCCTGATTACCTTAGTTACTGCAGAATGGATCTTGATATGGCAAGAGAGAATATACAGGAGTGGCAGTAAGCTGCTGAAAGGTGTTTATTATTTGTTGGAGGAACAAATAAGCCTGTTTTTTTGGATTCTCCCCTCCCCCCAACACACACACCATTTTTAAAGATAAACTCACTTTTTAGTAGAGAATGTTGCTGTCGTTATCTTAAAAAGTGGTATTTACCCTGCCTTAACAATCGAGTTGTTAACTTTATTTGAAATACTCCCTTTTACAATTAATGTATTTCACTAGAAGAAACTACAGTTGTACTTGGGTATTAGTAATTGCTATTGTTCTTCAGATATTTGTATTTTTAATCCACTACCACTATTCCTAAAACTTTGGAAAAGAAAACGGAATAATGGGATAAAGAGTAATTGGGATGGGGGTTGGGTAGGACTATTTTACCTAGATCTTCAGAGAAGCTTCTTTAAGGAAGTGACATCTGAGCTGAGAATGTAATGGATAACTTTTCTTTTTCCAGTTCCAAGATTATCCCCTAAAACTCACAGACCCAGGTCTCCCAGACAGAACAGTATTGGAAATACTCCTAGTGGGCCAGTTCTTGCTTCTCCACAAGCTGGTATTATTCCAACTGAAGCTGTTGCTATGCCTGTTCCAGCTGCATCTCCTACTCCTGCCAGTCCTGCATCCAACAGAGCTGTTACCCCATCTATTGAGGGTATGTAAGAAGGGGCTTCCCGATCCATAATGGTGCTTGTGAAATTGGTTAGAGTTTAACATTTAATGAAAAAATGCCATGTTGTTTTATTCATAGGTATGTATTTGAGTGTCCATTTAAAATTTCATGTAAATAAAGTTAGTTACTACTACTAATATCATGCATATTACTCTTGAATATCTGTTAAGAGGGTTGGGTATTAAAATATCAATATCAGTAAAATATTGGTGTTTCATACATCTACGAAGAAAAACCTCTGTTTAGATGGAAATGTTTTTTTGCAAAAATGTAATAAATTGAAATTGTTTAATATTTTCCTGTTTTACTTTTCTAACTTTTAACCTAACCACGAATCCAAAAAAAAAAAATTTTTTTTTTTCTAGCTAAGGATTCCAGGCTTCAAGATCAGAGGCAGAACTCTCCTGCAGGGAATAAAGAAAACATGAAGCCCAGTGAGACATCACCAAGCTTTTCCAAAGCTGAAAATAAAGGTCAGGCTTTAAGAAGTCTTTAGATATAAATGTAGAAATAGGAAGGAGTATATCTAATCTCATGCCCAATACAGAGTACTTTTCTTAGTATTGTACATATTTAAATGCATAATTTGACAAATGCCAAAATCTCTAATATATTCAAATTTTTATTAGTTTGATAATTAATAGACTTTATTTTCATTTCTAACATCCCATCTTAAAAAGAAATTGAAGTTAAGGACTAAAAATAAATCTGTATTTAACACTTCTTAATTTTACAGGTATATCACCAATTGTTTCTGAACATAGAAAACAGATTGATGATTTAAAGAAATTTAAGAATGATTTTAGGGTAAGTTATATTGACTAATGAATTAGAATTTTAAAAGCTGCTAAACATTACTAGGACTTTTTATACCATTTATTTATAAAAATGCATTATATATGTGTATATATATATATATATATACACACACACACACCCAGAAACATCAAATTGTGTGGAAAGCTAAACATTCTTAAAGTTTTCTTTGCCCATGCTTTTAAGTGGGGTAACTAAAATCATGAAATTTGATAAGAATAATACACTGATAAGATGTCAAATGAAAGAGTATGTAATTCTCACATTCAAAGCCACCATAATGTAAACTATTGCTTGGTATTCATCTGATAATTTTATTCAGTGAAGAGTAAAGCAAGGTCAAGGCATTAATTATTTCATGTGGTGAGTGAAGATGTACTGGACCCTGGTGTTCTTAGGTAGTTGCATATTTACACTTTGTATACAAATATATTGTGGCAGAAATCTTGCTATGTCACTTCTGTATTTTAAGACTTGCCAAACCTATTCTAATCTCCTGGGTGACTATATTGTTCTTTTGCACAATATTTAATACACTGTGCATCTCAGATAAATTTTGGAGACCAACTCAAGAAATCAGCTGGAAACTTAGCTTCTTAGAGGGAAAAAATCTGATCATATCAGGCTTTGAGAAAATGGCTGCTTAAAAAAAAAGATGACTGAATAAAAGGGAAAAGGAAACCTTTTCCTACCTTGTGTTCTAGCTTCCTAAAAATGAATAATTTTTTGCTGGTAGCTTCATTCTTGACTTACTGGCACCATTCAAGGTATTATGTATTCTCTCATACCTTAACACATTTATCCACTGAGCTTTAATGATATTAATAGTTGTGAATTTTAATTTCAATTTTTTAGGCTATGGTTAACACAGTTAAACTCCAACCCAGTTAAAGTCTTATGTGTACTTGCTGTGCTCAGCTGCATATGCCTGCCAGAGAGAAGGGTCTTCTTTACTGTGCACCTTTTTACTGCATATGACTTGATTCCTAAGCAACAGATGATGTTACTTTGCATAATCTTCAATTTGATAAAAACAGTGTCCTGCTGTGGGTATCCTTGGCCTTTTGCTCTCATTTCCAAGCACTTTTTTTAGTGTTAATCATTCAGTCCCTTCTTAGAGTACACTTGCATTGAATTTATTGTGTTATGAAGGAAAGAAATATTTTACTTGAACTGTATGATTTAGTATATTTTTGCAAGTTTTTTTGAGATATAATTTATATGTCATACACTTTAGCCATTTAAAGTATACAATTCAGTGATTTTTAGTATATTCACAGAGTTATACACCATTACCACAGTCAATTTTAGAACATTTTCTTCACCCCTAAGAGAAACCCCATATGCCCTAGCATTCCTCATTTGCTTTCAAATGCTCCCCGTGTCCCACCAGGTCCTAAATAACAGATCTACTCTGTTTCTGTGGATTTGCCTATTCTGGACATCTTATGTATGAATGGAATCATACATACAATATGTGGTCTTTTGTCACTGGCTTTTTTCACTTATCGTCATGTTTTCAAGGTCCATCCACATTGAGCATCTGGCAGCACTTCATTTCTTTAGTGGATAAATAATATTTCATTATTTATGCATAGACCACATTTTATTTATCCATTCATCAGTTGATGCCCCTTTGGGTTGTTCCAACTTTGGGGCTATTAGGAATAATGCCTTTGTGAACATTAGTGTACAGTTTTTGTGTGAACATGTTTTCATTTCCCTTGAGTATAAACCTAATGGAATTTCTGGGTCCTCCAATAACTCTTACGTTTCACCTTTTGGGAAAAATTTCTGAACTGTTTGCCAATGAGGGTTTCTCTTTCTCCACATTCTTATCAACACTTGTTATTGTCTGCCTTTTTGGTGATAGTCATTCTAGTGGTATCATTGTGGTTTTGATTTGCATTCTCTGATGGCTAGTGATGTTGAGCATCTTTTTATGTGTTTATTGGCTATTTGCATATCATCTTTGGAAAAATGTGTATTCAGATCGTTTGCCCACTTCTAAAATTGAGTTGTCTTTTTATTATTGAGTTGTAAGAGTTCTTTATGTGGTCTGTTTTACAAATCTCACATCAGGTAACATGGTTTGCAAATTTTTTCTCCTGTCCTATGGGTCGTCTTTTCACTTACTTAATGTTGACACTTGATGCACAAAATTTTTAATTTTGATGAAGTCCAGTTTATTTTTTTCTTTTGTTGCTTGTGCTTTTGGTGTCATATCTAAGAATCCATAGTCATATTTACTCTTTATTTTCTTCTGGAAGTTTCATTTTGGACTGTGTTCCATTTTGAGTTGCAAATTCATTCTTTTGCATATAAGTATCTATCACTTGTACCAGGACCATCTGTTGAAAAGACATTAAATTGAATTGACCTTTGTTGAAAATAAGTTGACTGCACATGTGAGGGTTTATTACTGGACTCTAAATTCTCCTCCATAGATCTCTCTGTCTGTTTTTTATGCCAGGATCATGCTATCCTGTTTTAAAGTTGTAACTTCTTCATTTAATAGAAAACATTTTGGCTGTAATATTTATCAATTCACAACTTTCTATAAACCTTTAATACTTGACTCTTAAATTCAAGTAGTTGCAGCATTAAAAGCACTCTCTCTAGGAATTCTGGTCTTGCTACTGTTTGGGGCCTGAATAATCAAATGTATTTCTAAGTCTCTGATGAATAACTTTCTGGTTCATAAGTGAATACTAGAAAGTAAAGAACTGGTTTTAAAAAAATGTTTGAGAGTGAGCTTTATAATTCTCTTCAGATAAAATATTATTAGTTTACATTTATTGAGTACTTCCTGTGTGTCAGACACTGTTCTAAGTGTGTATGTGATAAATCCTTTATTGTTCTAATATCCCTTTGAAACAGATTCGGTTATTATCTCCAGTGCATATATTAGGAAATGGAGGCAAAGACAATTTACATGGTTAGTCAAGATAGGCCTGTCCGTCTTTGTTCAAGCTTCCAGCAATGTTTTGGACAGTAGCTAATGTGTAGTATGTACTGCACTGGTCCGTCAGTAAACCATCAGAGCCACCTCATGATATGCACGTGGCCTTGAACTATGGTGGTTCACAAAAATCTCTGGTCTTTCATTGAGACAGAAACAGGAGTACCTTGTGGTTTTTTGTGGGGCTTTTGTTTTGTTTTGTTTTGTTTGCCTTCTCTGTTTCCTTTGAGAACCATCTGCAGGCTCTAATATACGTACAGGTTGCTGATAGCTTTATTTGTGTAAGAATTGCTAGTAATTTGATCTGTTGTAGGTTAATGGAGTGGGTTTGTAGACAATTTGACTTTGAATCTTGCCCTACACACACTGTATGTGTAACATAGAAGCATATTACCTAATTTCCCCAAGCAAAAATGAGATAATTGTAGAACCTACTTCATAGTGTTCTTGTGAGAATTACATAAGATACTGCCTATAAAGGTTTAATATAGTATATGACAAATAGTATGTACTCAGTAAATAATAATTCCTACTACCAAAAATGTAAATGACCTATAATTATACTGGCAATCAACATCTTCTTATTCTTGAGTCACATAAGAATTTGTTTTCCCATAAAATGTCCATACTATTGAAGCAGTCTACATATTCAGTACAATCCCTCTCAAAATTCCAATTGCGTTTTTCACAGATACTGAACAAACAAACCAAAATCTGTATGAAACTATAGAAGACCCCGAATAGCCAAAGCAGTTTTGAGAAAGAACAATAAAGGTGGGGAGGCATCATGCTCCCTGATTTTTAAGCTTTATTACAAAGCTATAATAATCAAAACAGAATGGTATTGGCATAAAAACAGACATAGATCATTGGAACAAAATACAGGTCCCAGAAATAAACCTATGTATATATAGGCAATTTGTAACAAAGGAGCCAAGAATATACAATGGGGAAAGGACACTCTTCAGTAAATAATGGAAAATTGGATACCCACATGCAAAAGAATGAAATTGGAATATTACCTTATATCATACACAAAAATTAACTTAAAATGTGTTAAGGACTTAAACAGAAGACCTGGAACCATAAAACTCATAAAAGGAAATATAGGGCAGTAAACTCCTTGACATTGGCCTTGGCAATTACTTTTTTGATTATTAGATACCAAAAGCAAAGTCCACAAAACTAAAAATAAGCAAGTGAGACTACATCAAACTAAAAAGCTTCTGCACAGCAAAGAAAACCATCAACAAAATGAAAAGGCAGTCTGTGGAATGGGAGAAAATATTTGCAAATCATATATCTGATAAGGTGTTAATACTCAAAATACATAAATAACTCACAACTCAATAGCAAAAAAAAAATCTTATTAAAAAATGAACAGGGGTTCTGAATAGACATTTTGACAGAGAAAGCATAGATGGCCAACAGTTGCATGAAAAGGTGCTCACCATTATTAATTGTCAGGGAAATGTAAATAAAAACCACAGTGAGGTTTACCTTATGGCTGTTAGAGTGGCTTGTATCAGAAAGGCAAGAAATAACAAGTGCTGGCCAGAATGTGAAGAAGAGGAAACCCTTGTGCACTGTTGGTGGGGGGTGTACATTGGTGCAGCCACTATGGAAAACAGTATAGAGGTTCCTCAGTAAATTAAAAGTAGAGATACCATGTGATCAGTAATTCCACTTTGGGATATTTATCTGAAGGAAACAGAAGCAGTAGCTCAAAAAGATATCTGCGCCTCCATGTTCATTGCAGCATTATTTACAATAGCCAAGACATGGAAACAGCCTAAGTGTCCAGCATTGAGTGAATGGATAAAGAAAATGTGTGTGTGTGTGTGTGTGTGTGTGTGTACACGTACACAGAGGAATCACAACCATAAGAAAGTAAGGAAATCCTGCCATTTGGGACAACATGGATGGATCTTGAGGGCACTATGCCAAGTGAATTGAAGTAAGTCACACAGAGAAAGGCAAATAGCATATTATCTCACTTGTATGTGGAATCTTTAAAAAATAAAACAGAAAACCTGAGCTCCCAATGGTGGTTGCCAGAGGCAAGGGTGGCAAAATGGGTTAAAGTAGTCCAAAAGGTACATACTTTTAGGTGTGAAATAAGTCCTGGGGATGGATTATACAGCATGGTGACTGAGTCAATAATACTGTATTGTATATTTGAAAGTTGCTAAGAGAATAGATCTTAAAAGTTATAAGAAAAGAAAGTTTATGACTATGGTAATGCTCTTAACATAGTTAATAATTTCATAATACATATTTTGAATCATGTTCTACACTTGAAACTAATACAATGTTATGTGTCAGTTATATCTCAATAAAAAAAGAAAAAGTGGTTCAATTTGGGGGAAAAAAGACAATCTCAGTTTTCCCTTAGTATACTGCAGATAGGAAATACAGCAGATTGCTAAAACTTGTTCCTTAGTTTTCCCATTTGTAAGATAGTGATGATAGTATCAACATCAAATAAAGCTGTTGTAACACTGAATGAATGAGTTTGTAAATAATTTGGTAAAGTGTCCAATCCAGAGTGAGTGCTGTGGGTATGTTTGCTATCATATGAAAAATAACAGCAAAAGTCTCGTTTTTGCCTCAGAGACCCTTGTGGTAAATAAAAGAGAAGTTGTCTGCAGTGCACAATTGGTCTTTGATGTGTGTAGCCTCTCCTCAAGATTTTTGCAAACAAATGCTGTCTTAGACATTAAGTGCTATATTTGTGACTTAAATTGCCACTGGATCCAAATAAATGTCTCTCTCACCTTACCCTCAGTCACTTGAGGACTCTGTAACTATTGGTGATATAGTGAAGCCTTGAAATGGCATAATTAGACTTGACAGTGGTCCCAATAGTGAGACTTTGACCTTGGTTTGTCCATCTTGAAGCTAAGATTCTTTGTCTCTTTCCAACTGTACATCCCCCTGTGCTGTGCAATTGCTCTTTAGCTTATTCTCGCTGCTTGGGGTTGTTACTTACGTCCGTTCACATTTCCACCTTGGCTGCTTCTGCTTGGTGCCCTTTCCCTTCTCTTTTTGTTGTTATTTCCTTGAGCTGTCCTCCTTTTCTTCTGTGGAGTATGGCCTCTTAAATCACTAATAGTGACATTGATTTCTTCTGGAGTGCACACTTAAAGCCCTAAAGCCCCCATAGTTACCTTCCTTATGTCTTTGTCTTGTGCTCTTCTCAGTGGTGCTTATGCTTTGCAGTTTCTTCTTTGCCTGTGGGTAGGAGGGCCTAACTGACCAGCACGTCTAGTCAGCTGTCCCTCTGAATCCACCTCCTTCTGACTTTGTAGGTCAGGATCATGAGAGTCCAGCCTCTGTAGTCTCTCTGTGTCCCCACTGGGCTCCCCCCAGTTCATTTTCCACAAAGCTGCTGTGGTCATCTTTATGAACTGTAAGTCTGTTTGGTGCTATGCCTGCTTAAAATTCTTCAGTGACTCATCCAAAAGACAAACAACAACAAATGTTGGCAAGGTTGTGGAGAAAGGGGAACCCTCCTACACTGCTGCTGGGAATGTAAATTAGTTCAACCATTGTGGAAAGCAGTATGGAGGTTCCTCAAAATGCTCAAAATACAAATACCATTTGATCCAGGAATTCCACTTCTAGGAATTTACCCTACGAATGCAGCACTCCAGTTTGAAAAAGACAGATGCACCCCTATGTTTATCGCTGCACTATTTACAATAGCCAAGAAATGGAAGCAACCTAAGTGTCCATAATGGATAAAGAAGATGTGGTACATATACACAATGGAATATTATTCAGCCATCAGAAGAAAACAAATCCCACCATTTGCAACAACATGGATGGAGCTAGAGAATATTATGCTCAGTGAAATAAACCAAGCAGAGAATGACAAATACCAAATGATTTCACTCATATGTGGAGTATAAGAACAAAGAAAAACTGAAGGAACAAAACAGCAGCAGAATCACAGAACCCAAGAATGGACTAACAGTTACCAAAGGGAAAGGGACTGGGGAGAATGGGTGCGAAGGGAGGGATAAGGGCGGGGAAGAAGAAAGGGGGCATTATGATTAGCATGTATAGTGTGGTGGGGGGGAATGGAGATGGCTGTGCAACACAGAGAAGACAAGTAGTGATTCTACAACATCTTACTACGCTGATGGACAGTGACTGTAATGGGGCTTGTTGGGGGGACTTGGTGAAAGGGGGACCCTTGTAAACAATGTTCTTCATGTAATTGTAGATTAATGATAACAACAAAAAAAATGCATACAACTAAAAAAAAAATTCTTCAGTGACTCCTCATTATCCTGCAAGTTAAAAACTGGAGTCCTTAACAAAGCTTTCAAATTCCTTTATCATTTTGTTCCTCTTAGGTGAGTTTTTCATTCCTTGAGTCACTCGTGCACTGTGCCCCACCCTTGCTCTATCCATTAGTGCTTTTCTCTTTACAGTGGGGATATCTCCCTTCCTCTTGGGTTCTTAAGAACACTGTTTCTTTTGCTTGGTTTATTCCCTTTTTCAAATCCCCCCTCTGTAAAACATCTTTCACACTTTAGAGACTTCCATTCAGAATCCTTCTCTTTCTGTAAGTTGCTTTTTCTTATAGGACCCCATAACATCTACCCCCACTTTATTGTTAAGTGTCTGATACCACCCAAGTGGTAAGTTTTGGGAGGATAGATGCTGTTTCATATTTCCATCCAGCAGGCATGAATTTCTGACACATGGTTGGCACTGAGTAAATTTTTAACTTCTGAGGCTTGGACATTTGAGTGCTTATATGGTTGTGTTGTATAGATGTTTTGTTGTTATTGTCTTATAATAAAACCATTACTCTTTATGCAAAAAGCCCTTATTCACTATATTTCATACTTGCAAATAATACTAGTTTGCTTGTGCTCTTAGAGAAAATTGATGACTAAGAGTTATTTAAAATATGTAAGTATAATTATTTCCTTTATTTAGTTACAGCCAAGTTCTACTTCGGAATCTATGGATCAACTGCTAAACAAAAACAGAGAGGGAGAAAAATCAAGAGATTTGATCAAAGACAAAATCGAATCGAATGCTAAGGATTCTTTCATTGAGAGCAGCACCTGCACCAGTGGCAGCAAGCCCAGCAGCCCCAGCGCGTCCCCATCTGTCCCCAGTAACGCGGAGCACAAGAGGGGCCCCGAAGTCACATCCCAGGGGGTTCAGACTTCCAGTCCAGGATGTAAACAGGAGAAAGATGATAAAGAGGAAAAGAAAGATGCAGCTGAGTGAGTAAACCTGGAATTTACCACATCCTGTTACTTAACTTTTTCTTAGGTGTCCAGGCCTTCCAACTCAAGAATCTGAGACTTTTAGGCTGCTTTGTAAGTGGCCCTCAACTTGCAAATGACTCGTCTAAACAAATGGCATCTTCAGTAAATTAGGTCATTGTGCCCTATTCTCTTCTTCCCTCCTTCCCTTTCTGCATCCCATGACAAAAATAGTAGGCATAAATTAAGAAAGGCTTTTTCTGTAAATGTACAGGGAGTTGAAAAATTACTGGCTTTTGGGACCTGTATCCCCTGGAGGCTATTCAGTACCCACTTCCTGGCTTATGCTGGTAGGACTGAGAACTGCCACTGCTACAAAGAGAAGTATTTGGTGCCCCTACTTGGAATTCAGTGTTGTCCATCAGAAACAGTGTTTTAGTTAATGGTTAGATTTGTTAAGGTAGACTTAATTCTGCACACCCATTATCAGTTAAATGGACTTTTGGGGGCTAGTCTCAGGACCTAACCGAACCACCATTGATTTACTTGTTCTGGGTTTGATGACACAGTTAAACAGCTGAAATTGTGGAGTGAAGCCTACTAATAACCCAGGAGTGCTTATTCTTGATTTTGATGCAGAAGTTTTTATTAGAGTTATGATTTTTTCCCAAGGTATGTCATGTAGGAAATACTTTGTCACATTAAAAAATACCACAGGCTATCTCACTACGCTGATGGACAGTGATTGTGATGGGGTTGGGGAGGACTTGATAATATGGGTGAATGTTGAAACCACAATGTTGCTCATGTGAAAACTTTCTTAAGCTTGTATACCAATGATACCTTAACTAAAAAAACAAATAAAGACACAAGGAAACTGGAAAAAAAAATACTGCATGCTAGATAATCAGTATATTAAGGATCGTTTTTAAGAATATCTTGTGAGAGTCCACTGTCCTTCCAATTTAAGTATTTGTTGATTGCATTTGAGAGGAACATCATATATTGCACTTTCTAAAAAAAGATTCCTTTTTGACCAGTCTTTATCAGATTAAGGAGTGGGAAATATTATGTGTGTTTTAATGAAGAGGATTTAATGATCTTTCTTTTAGTGAGAATTGTTTAAATCTAGTGTGTGTTTAGCATTATTTTAAAGTCAGCTGTAGAGGGCTTTAGAGAAACCTAAGTTCCATGCAGATTTCACTGTTTTTTTTCTTTTTTTCTTCTGGTTTAGGCAGGTGAGGAAGTCAACATTGAATCCCAATGCAAAGGAGTTCAACCCTCGTTCCTTTTCTCAGGTGAGTTTGTTTTTTTCTCTCTTTTATGTGACCTAGTCTTTAAAAATTAGTTTTTTAATATTGGTAATATTCCTATTCCCATACCTGTCATCTAAACTCAGTTATAGAATGCTAAAACAACTTTTAGTTTTAACTTCCTTTTTCTTAAATGGCCACTAATGAATATTTTGAGCCATAAAAAGATCCTTGTTTTATCATCAATTTGACATGGGGAAAATCTTGGATTCTTTCTGGTTCAGAATTTGAGGATGGTTAGCTAGGTAGACTCTCAGGTTCGTAGATAAACTGTTATTCTATTGAATTTGTAAGAAGATAGATTTATTTTTTAATTTTGAAGACACTTTCTCCAGTTCCTTAAAAATCACTAATATTTTTAATAATATTATTAATTGGCAGAATTTAACTTTCTTCCAAGTGTTTTTTCTTACTTTGAAACATGTAGAAGTTTATTTTCAGTAAGTTTTTTCATTCAGAGGGACGAAGTGAAAGAAAGTGAAATAGAAAGATGGGGAAAATCAGCCTTCAAATCGCACTAGGTAGCTTTTCACTTTAAGATAGTTGATTTTGGTTTTCGTAGCCAAAGCCTTCTACCACCCCAACTTCGCCTCGGCCTCAAGCACAACCAAGCCCATCTATGGTGGGTCATCAGCAGCCAACTCCAGTTTATACTCAGCCGGTTTGTTTTGCACCAAATATGATGTATCCAGTCCCAGTGAGCCCAGGTGTGCAAGTAAGTCATAGAATTTGATATTCATTTATTCTCCCTATCTATTTGTATTCGACACCAAGGACTCTGTAGGTGTTTGGTGACTTGAGACAGTGATGGTGTAAGAGAAGTATTTGAAAAGATGAGACATACAGTGATACAATATGTTCATGTAAAGACCTAAATCTGAGAATGTTTTCTGGTGAGAAAGATACTTAGATTTACTGTAGTCTGGGGATTGTCCTTTTTGACTGTGGCTGTGATTTTATTTTTAATGATGACTCATAGAGTATCAGAAAATCTCAGAGCTAGCTCCCTGGCAATATACAACTGAGAGAGAGTCGTAAAATATGTTCTTATTAACTTCGAGAGCCTGATCTTTTTTTTTTTTTTTAATTCCCTCAAGCCTTTATACCCTATACCTATGACGCCCATGCCAGTGAATCAAGCCAAGACATATAGAGCAGGTAAAGGTGAGAATAATCCTGCCTGTGTTTGCTTGTGGTCTGCATGCTGCATGAATGAACTAACTCAATGTATAATGAGTAAATATTTGTGGTTTTGACTTTTGAAGTCCAGCATTAAATAAGGTATGTCATGCATTTTTATGAACAAAACCAGAGATTTGTGATTTTTGTGATTGTTCAGGATCTTCAAAAAGAATACTTGAATTCAAAAATTTTCAATGGTAAATTTGAAGAGTTTACTAAATTAATTTACCAGGTTGCTGATGACCTTACTTTTTACTAACTACAGTTTTTTTCTCCCCAAAACCCAGAATTTCTTTTTGAGCAGAGGGCAGCTCACTTTAGAAACCATCAAAGTCCTATTAGAGGAATGTTTTGTCATCTTCAAAGTGGAAAGATTATGTAATCTAATATTCTATACTTCTGTGATTAAAGAGCCTTCATGGGAAAAAACATTTATATTGAAATCTTGTAATGTTGAAAAATGCTAAAGGGTTTCTTTTTTTGTCACCTAGGTAATTGACAGCAGTTAATGGCTATTATTTTATTGAGAAATAATAGAAATAAGAATAATTTCTATAAAAAGAAACATTTCTCAATGCCCAGTAATTATACTCCTGACATAAAAAATTAACTTCTTAAGTGAATATGCTTTCCTTAGTGTTTGAAGTAATTATAATTACTTTGTGGGTGTAGTAATTAAAACTCATAATATGTATGTATTTTTTTAACCATGTATGATGTCCTTTATCTTGGCCTTAGAATGCTGGAACCTGTGGAGAGAACCTAACCTTAGATAATATAAAGTTGTCTGGTTATGGAATTAATCTTATTCTGAGGGCCTGAAAATTTTCAGGGAAAAAGTTTTAGTGCCATTTTGAGTGAGGTTAAATCAGGGTGTTAGTATATTATGACCTGGTTTGGGGCTATTTTAATGGTTACTTAAAACAATGCAGTGGGAATGTTTTTATGTTAAAATGTGAAAGATTATTTCAGTGAAAGCAAGGCACTATACCATAGCTCTCTGATGAGAGAGATGCACTTTAATTCAGAGGCACTGTCATTTTAGTAGAGGAGAAATGGTATACTCTGAAGGTACCTCAGCCAGTTTTATGGAGACTTCTCTAATAAGATAGAACTGGCACACTGCAGAGAACATCAGCTTTAAACATGCTGTCCTAAGATGGGAACTGATTAGATATTTGCTTTGTCCATCATTCGTATTCAATGATCATCAAGATTTTGCCATATTTACTTAAGGTGTACTTTGTTTCTTTGCAGAATTATTTAAGACAATCCCAGATGGCATGCCATTTGAGTTGTACATCTTAGAGTGTATCTTTACAAGCATGGACAGTTTTCTTAGGTAGCCAGAGTGTTTTTCTCACACTTTATGAAATAAATTCCTTTTTATCATCTAATAACCACCGTAATCAGATTACCCTGACTGAGTCAAGAATATATTTTTACAATTAGTTTGTTTTGCTATGGATCAAAATAAGGTCTACACATTGTTTCATTTATTACATGTGTGTAATTTTGCCTTTCTTCCCCCCTACTTTTGCTTTGTGGCAGAAACCAGTTGTTATGTAGATTATGTACCACATTCTAGATTTCTCTTTTCTTCTTGTGATGTCATCGATTATATTCAGGTTTAAGTTTTTTTGGGGATGGAGGAGATAAGAACACTTTAAAAATGTTTGAGTGCTCTATACTGGTTCATTCAGGAAGTGTACAATATCTGGTCCTCCTTTGAGTTACGGTAAGATTAAAGGTTCAGGTGGTGCCAGCCTGATCCTCCCTCCCCAGTTGTGAAGTTTTCTGTTAATCTTTCATCTATTTCATTGATTGATGCTAAACATCATTTTTTTCGTTAAGGCAGAGGTTCCCAAATTCTAGTGTGCATCAGAATCATTTGGGGAGTTTTGTTAAAAAATACAGATTGCTTGCCCTCATCTGCAGAGTTTCCAGTCCACAGTTTCCAACTGAGTAGGTTTAAGGCATAGCCTAAGAATCTGTATTTCCAGTGCGATTTATAAAACCAGTGTGCTGGTGATGCTGCTGGACTGGGACTATACTTTAAGAACTGTTGCAATTAGAAACTTGGAAACGGTTATTTCTGAATTCCTAGCATTTCTTCTCCATTTATTAGCTGGAATCATTCTGTAAGGGACTATTCTTTCCAACTAGGGCTATTTAATTATTCTGAAATGGTTTGTACAGGAAAGTTAGGGTAAATGCTTAGATTTAAATGCTTGAAATTGGCTCAAGTGTCAGTTTTTAGTGAGTTTTTGGTGCCCTTTTACTATCAGTAGTGTCCAGTGAAATTGTTTCGATTTAAGGATGTGACTCTTTCTCCCTCTTTTATTTTTTAATATTATGGATGGATGGATTTTCATATATTTTTATATATTCATTGTGTTTCAGTTAATTCTTCTTATTGCTCCTCTTATCCCATCCCATCTTTGATCAATAGCAATCCATTCAGGTTGACTCCTCTGTCCTTTCATTTGTCTCGGATAGTTTCTTTCTGCTACAAATGAAATGTCTCAAGCTGATCTTTTTCTACCCTAAACCAGGATCAGTATTCCTCCAAGGAACCCTGTTTCTTTTTACTAGGGAATAGTGTTTAGAAACCCATATTCTGGTTCTAGGACGTGCTCCTTACTTTTGAGTTACTGCTTCTAAGTCTTTTCAGTGGACAAAACTAGGAAATGCCGGTTTTTTTTTTCTTTTCAATAATCTAGAAATTCAAATTGATACATCCAATTCAAGTTAACATTGCAAGATTTTTACTGTGAATTTTTGCTTGCATCTCTCATTCTCTTATATTGAAGACCTTATAGAAATAGTAATTACCTCTTAACATACTACTGTAAAGCTTTAGTGGCCTAAATCAGCAAACATATTATTTCACACAGTTTCTGAGGGTCAGGAATCCAGGAGTGGCTTAGCTGGGTGGTTCTGCCTCAGAGTCTGTTATGAAGTAGCATTGACGAGAGCTGCAGCTATCTGAAGGGCTAATGGGCTGGTGGATCTGCTTCCATATTCAGAGCTATTGGCAGGATAATACTGGTCCTGCCATGGCTGCTTGGCTTCTCCGAAAATAAGTGTTCAGAGAAACCAGCTTACTTTAAATGGAAGCTGCAGTGTGTTTTACAGCAGAACCTTGGGATGACATAACTTCTGTCATATGCTATAGGTCACAAAGAGCAAACCTGGTACAGTGCAGGAGCAGGGGGTACTATCGAAGGGTGTGAATACAAGGAGACGGAAGCATTGGGGGCCATCTGACTTGCCAGGGTATTTACATTTTCCTAGAACGTGTGTAAAATATTTTCAAAATATTTGTTGTCTGATTGTTAGACTATGGGATAAAATTTTAAATGTCTTGTGAGTATTACTTACCTTAGTATATGTTTCACTAAGAATTTTTTTTAAGTGCCAGTTTTCAGAGTAAGGAGTTGGTACCCTTGTTACTTCTAAAATACTGACTTCTGTAGTCACTCTTATGTCAACAATTTGATACGTAGGTAGGTTAATCTCATAGAGTTTGTTTCCATTTGTAGGGATAGCTTTTTTATTTTAATTTTATTTCTTAGGTACAAGATATTTATATTCTCTCAAAGTCAAAGTTACATAAAAAGGTCAATCAGAAATCTTGCTTCCATCCCAGGCTCTCCATTTGTACTTTCCTTCATCGTTTCCATCCCAGTAGGTGGATCATCCATTCCTTCCGTCATTAGCAGGTGATCATTATTTTCTATTTATCTTTACAATGTTTATTTTTACACAAATACACTTTTTTATTTACAAATGTACATTGTTTTTTAAATTAGCTTTATTTACATGTAATTGACATACTATAAAATTCACCTGTTGAAGTATACAGTTCAATGATTTTTAATTTATTCTCAGAGTTGTCTAATCATCACCATAGTCAATCTTAGAACATTTTCATCTCTCCAAAAAAGAAACTTGCGTGCCTTAGCAGTTACTCCCCTCTCCTCCCGCCATGCACATACATACTCATGCCCTAGGCATGCTAATTTACTTTCTTCTCTCTAGATCTGCCTGTTCTGGATAGTTCATGTGAATGCAATCATCTGTATATCTTCTGTGTCTCAATTTTTCCACTTAGCATCATGTTTTCAAGGTTCATCCATATTGGAACATTTGTCAGCACTCCATTCCTTTTTATGGATGAATAATGTTGTTTTACCTGTTCATCAGTTATTGCCTCTTTGTGTTGTTCTGACTTTTTGACTACCTGTGAATAATGCTGCTGTGGACATTTGTGCAGAAGTTTTTGTGTGGACTTAGAAGTTAATTTCTCTTGGAGTAATTACTTTGTTGGAACTGCCACACAGTTTTCCAAATGGCTGCACCATTTTATTCTACCAATAATGTACGAGAGTTCCTAGTTTCTCCACATACTCAACAGCACTTGCTATTGTCTGGTTTTGGGGATTATATCCATCCAGTGGTTATAAAGTGGTGTCTCATGATGGTTTTGATTTGTATTTCCCTAATAGCTGCTGATATTGAGCATCTTTTCTATGCTTATTATGGATATTCAAATATTTGGAATTCTTTGGATATTCAAATATTTGACCTAGTTTTTAATTAGATTATTGCTCTCTTAATTGCTGAGTTGTAAGAGTTCTTTGTGTTCTGAATATAAATCCTTATCAGAGAAGGAATTTACAAATATTTTCTCCCATTTTATGGGTTGTCTTTTTACTTGCTTGATGGTATCCTTTGTAGCAGTTTTTGCTCTTTTATTAAGGTGTTACTGATATATACTCTTATGAAAGTTTCACATGAAAAAACAATGTGGTTACTACATTTACCCATATTATCAAGTCCCCACCCATACCCCAATGCAGTCACTGTCCATCAGTGTAGTAAGATGTCACAGATTCACTTTTTGCCTTCTCTGTGTAGCACAGTTTTTAACTTTGATGGAAGTTCAGTTTATTTGTGTTTTTGTTGCTTACTTATGTTTTGGTATCATAGTTAAGAAACTATAGCCTAATTCAAGGTTGCAAAAATTTACTGTGGTTTCTTCTAAGAGTTTTATAGTTTGCCTCCAACATTTAGGTCAGTGATCTATTCTGAGTTAATTTTTGTGTACAGTGTGAGGGTAAATATCCACATTCGCTCTTTTGCGTGTGGATATCCACTTGTTCCAGTACCACTTGATGAAAGGACAACTCTATCCTTATTAAATTGTTTTGGTGTCTTTGTTGACGTTTTTTTTTTTTTCCATCATACACAAAAGGATGCACACTATATGTGCTGTTCTGCACCTGTGGGGGTTTTTTGTTTGTTTAAAGGCATCATATTTCCTAGAAATTACTGCATGTCACTGTATCAAGATTTCCCTCATTCTCTTTTTTATTTTATCTTACTGAATCATAAGAATATAGATGTATACAAGTTCTTTCTCTGATACATGCTTTTGAAACAATTTCTTGAATGTCTTTGGAGTCCGTTTTTATTTTTCTTGAATAGTTGTGCTTTTGTTTGCTTTATTTGCATACTCCAGAGTTCTAAATATTTTCCCATGTGGTCTTTTTTAGAAGTTTTATATTTTTCTCCTAAGTTTTACCTTTTGATTTTTTCATTTATAATTTTAAAGATTTTCCCCATTTATGTTTAATAAGAGAATTCATGTGCCTTTTCTTCCAAAATTTATAACTTCCTTTCCCGCCCTCCTACATTTAAATCTCTGACACATTTGGAAATTTTCTTACATACATTGTAAGGTATGAATCCAGTTTATCTTGTTCTAAATGGCTATCCAAAAAATCTTAACCAGTTGCATTGTTCTTTAATTTACATACAATAGCATGGATTCTGTTGAAGTGTATGTTTTGGTGAATTTTAACAAATTTGTTTATTCTTGTAACTGCTTATCAGCCAAGAGGCAAGCCAGGATTGTGCCCAGTATTGACCAGTGAGGGTTTTGTTGTTATGTTAGTATAAACTCACTGATTTTTAACATTCAGTTTGCTAGTTGGCATTTTTATTAGAATAACTTTAGATTTATGAGTTAAATGAGGGGAGAATTGCTATCTTTATATTGAATCTTCCTATGGAAGAACAAATTACACCTTTCCACTTGTTTAAATCTGCTTCTGTATCTTCAGTAGTGTTTTTAAGTTTCTCTTAAGGATTTTGTGTTTCTTCGGTTTGTGCCTTAGGTATTTTCTTTATTTATTATTAATGTAAACTGGGGTCATTTTTTCCATTGCATCTTCTAAGTAGTTACTTATGAAGTAGGTTAATGAAATACTATATATGAAGGTTATTGCCCTCTTTATGTTAGTTTTATACGCTGCTACAATATTTTGTCAACTAACAGGCAAAGTCAAGGACTTGGTTCTGAAATGCAGCCATAAGGCATATCTTTCCTGCATTATAGTAGGACCTTTGCACAAAACCACCTCTTTGTCTTCTTGGTACATAATGCAGTATTTTCTTTTTTGCAACCTGTGAGAAAAATTCTGCTGTTTGAAAATATGCCAAATTCAAGAACTTGATTAACATAAAGCAGAATTTCTTAGCCTTGGCAAAATTAACATTTTGGACATATATTCTTTGTGTGGGAGAAGGAGGGGTGTCCTGTGTGCTGTAAGATGTTTATTAGCATCCCTGGCCTCTACCCATTGGCTGCTAGCAGTAAGTTCCCTTTCCCCTAGTTGTGACAACCTAAAATGTCTCCAGATACTGCCAGATGTCTGTTGAAAGGCAAAATTATTCCCCATTGAAGACCATTGACATAAGAAAATAGCTAACGTATGGTCCATCTAAACTGTAGTTTAAGGTAAGATTCAAAAAAATCTTTTAATTCAATTTAGGAAAAAAACACTACCACCATAAAACCAAGTATTTCTCTGTATACATGGATATGCCTATGTGCAAATGCATAGAGCATGATCTCTAGAAGACTGTGTACAGTGGTTGATTTGGGGGAAGAGAATGGTATGCAAATGGAGGGAGGAATTTTGTAGTGTTAATTTTTTATCTTTTAAGATAATATTCAAGCATTTTTTTGTAGCTAGAATTTAAAAAGCAGTAAACTTGGTTAGCTTTTTGTATTTTTTATTATACAAGGATCATAATCAAGTATCAAAAAAATAACAAATAGGTTAAACTCAGTGAGCTTATAATTAGACAAACTTTCACTTGATAAAAAGGACACCTGAGTTTGGGTGGCTTTTCTTTACTAAAAGGACATGATTTTTCAATATGTAGATTCTAAAGAAACTTAGTAAAATACTACTGTATTGGTTTCTTCTGTTTTCAAGTTTGCTTTTCTAAATAGATAAAACATCACATAACTAGTAGCTCTTCCTAAATTTCAACAGCCATTACATTTTTAGCGAAAAATGTCAAATATTTAAAATAGAAACCAAATTCTAATTGTGTATTAGCAGCTACTCACATAATTAGTTCTGATGATTTTGTGAACGTACACCAAGTTATATTATACATTCTTTGTGTCTCATGCCTTGTAAGCAGTGGTTCATGATTGCTTCCCTCAAGTGACTTGGTTAACGTTGCACCATAAACCTGTCATAGACAATAGTCAAGGATATAATAGACAAACAAGTAAGGGAAGGGATACAGAGCGTGAAGCTAACTCTCCTTTGGTGGGTGGCGTGGGGAGGGGGAGACTGGGGAAGATACGACAGAGGAGATGACAGTTGGGCCAAATTTTTAACTAGACCTTTAACGGGGAGGACCATGGGCAGAAATTTGTATGGAATAATGAAAAACAAATGAATGGGCTATTTAGAAACCTGCTACATGATTTTTGTGATGCTGTGTTTGAGAAAGAACAAGAAGGTGTGTAAAAATTCAGTGGTGGGCAATTCACAAAAATGGAGTTAAGGTTAGCTATGGTCTGTTTCAGCTTTTTTGTTGCTGTTCTTGTGTTCTTTGAATAAATCCCATGCCCTTCTTTAGCAATTGGTGTGTCAATCAAGGATTACCTGAGAAGTAGTATGTACGAAACACTGTTTCATAGTGCTGTTACAGTCTTGCAGGGACTTGATCAAGGTGGGGGCAGGGGTCATCATAGAGGCTCTCTGTAAGGAAGCTCCTTTCAAGCTGATGCCTGAAAGTCAAGTCAGAATTACCCAAGCTTGGGGTGGTTGAGGGTAAGTGTTTGAGGCTGAGGAATAGCTTGTGTGATAGGAAAACAGCCCAGAGTGGCTGAAGTGGTGGGACGGTGGTACAGCATTGGAGAAGCAGGTGGGAGGGGTCAAATCATGCAAAGCCTTGTGGACCATATTCATATATTTTATACTAAGGAGAGGCATCATCTCTCTCTGCAGTACCAAATATGCCCCAACAGCGGCAAGACCAGCATCATCAGAGCACCATGATGCACCCAGCCTCAGCAGCAGGCCCACCAATTGTGGCCACTCCACCAGCTTATTCCACGCAATATGTTGCCTATAGCCCTCAGCAGTTTCCAAATCAGCCTCTTGTTCAGCATGTGCCACATTATCAGTCTCAGGTAAGGCCAGTATGACCCAACTCTTAATTTTTTGCCATTTAAATAATTTTTAATTTTAACTTTTAATAAGGTAAAAGGTTTTCTTTTATATTTCATGGTTTGTTTTGTGGTGAGGTATATAGCTAAGGATTTTGGGAGGGTACTTTTTAGTATGTATTAGAAGATTGCTGATCTGTGTAACTGTTTCCAAGGAAGTTGCAAAAATAAGTTTCAGAAGTTTCAGTTGTTACTGGAAACCATGGAGTTAAGATATCTAACTAAAATCTGCTGACTCTTTCTGATAATATAATGTTTTTTCTTTGTTTTTTGTTTGGACACAGCATCCTCACGTCTATAGTCCTGTAATACAGGGTAATGCTAGAATGATGGCACCACCAACACATGCCCAGCCTGGTTTAGTATCTTCTTCAGCAACTCAGTACGGGGCTCATGAGCAGACGCATGCGATGTATGGTAGGGCACTTTGTTTGTCTTTTTCAGTATGTGTGACTTGACTATACTCAGTTTCTTTTAAATCTGAAAAAACACTCTGTTTAAGAATAATTTGGCCTTTTATGACATTGAGAGTTAAGAATTAAAAAAAAAGATGACCCATTTCTGTCTCTGACCTGCTTTGCAAGTCTTGGCATATCATTTCTGTTTCTGTTCCTGAAATTCCTTTGTCTTCAACTGTTGCGCCATACCTCAAAAGAGATGTATTGATATGTGTAACAGAAAAAATATCTCTTTTGGAGAAAGGTATCTTCCTTCTTTTCCTCATCAGTATTATCATTTGCTATGCCTGCCTAAGGTATGCAAGAAAGTTTTACAGTAAAGAAAGCAGTTGTTAAACTGCTACTGTGTTTCTCATCATGCTGTATTTTAAGTGGTCAAAATTGTGTGATATTAGATTTGCTTTAGACATGATTCATGCTTTACATTTAATCAATATAAACAATGGTAAAATGAAAGTGAGAAACATTTTACACAAAATTAACAATATATGTAAGAATACTAAGCCGAAATTACCATTTTACTTTTGTGGCCTGAGAACTTAGTGTAGGTTGTTAACTTAGCAGCTGTCTAAAGTACTAAAATAATGTGGTTTTCAATGTTGAGTATTTTGAAATAAGATTACCATGTATATTTTGTGATATAGAATTGATAGGCCGTTCCATATTACATTTTTCAAAATGCACTTATAATTAGTACCAATTTCAGTAAGACATAAGGTTTGTTTTGAGCTTTTCTGAGAATACCTGTACTGTCATTTAGGATTTCCCAGCAGCATTTCAGTTTTTTGGAGTGGGAGGAGAGATTTAAGTTTATTTATACAATTGAAAAGGATACCACTATGCAAGTGAAATGACAGTTACATGTAATTACATGGACATTTCGATTTTTTAAACCTTTTTAAACTTTGTGAATGACTAATAATATAAATTTTTCATTGTTTTAACTTTAGCTTAACAGTTTATAACATTTGCAGGTTAATAGGAGTAGGACTCAGACAGCAGTAATCACCCTTCTGGTTACCTGCATAATCTTAGCACTTTCTTCCTGAAGGCATGCTCCTGTCACATAGGTTCACTAATGATAGGGCTTCTACATGATTAAAGGCATTATCTTTATAAAATACTTAGATCTGATCTTAATTTTTTACATTATCACTTAAAACTTTCTGTTATGTATTGTGCCCCTAAATAAGATTATATAATTGCTGCATTTTGGAAAACATTGTTTGAAGAATTCCATCAGTAATTTTATTAGAAAGTATGCTTAGACTGATTTGGCTTATGATTTTGGTTATGATCTCTTGTCATTAGCTTGTGCTTAGTTGTTTTAGCCAGGACTGAGTATATATAAAAAGGCACCCACTGATTCATCACACTGGCTTTTATGCAGTTTGTATACATTTCAACAATTTCCCAGTTTGCTAAAGGCTTAGGTGAAAAATTCATTGTGATTGTTAATACATTTTTGGTGAATACATCATGATTTAACAAGTGGGAAAAACATTTCTTTGCTCCATTTTCTGGAATATTCCCTTTAGAATAAGATCTGGAACTCCTGAGCTAAAATTTCCATTGCTTTGAAAAAATAGCTATTTGTATACCCATGCTTTTGAGACATTGTAGTTATGCTGCGATGTTGAGCAGAATCATTCTCCTCAGTGTGTTCACTCACTACAACATCTAGCTTTGTCTCTGGATGAATGTTCATTGACTTGAAACAGCCAGTAAATACTGTATTTGAAGCACTAATGGTTTTTAAGCTACCTTCTTAGAACATTTCCGCTTGAAAAACAGTTTGGCCTTAGACCCTGAAGTACATTCATGTGTGGATAAATAGGAAATACTGAAAACAAAACAGAACACTAGACCTAATGTCCAGTGAAATCTGTAATAAACTAGTCATCAAAGCCAGGTTCTTTAATGCCAGGAGAAGGCAGTTCAACCAGATCTGAACTGCTTTCCTGCAAATTACACAATTGTATTTAATTGATGTCTTTGATGAGGGCAGGCTAGGTGCAAGACTGTGGACTTGGTATGATTGTTGATGATTAAGGTTTTTCTTTTGGATACTTCGTGCCTTAGAACACTACGTAGTGAATTACTTTGTTTTTTATTGTCATAAGCCAAAGTTTAGTCTGCTAAAGTAAGTTAATTAATTCTTCAGTAATTTATTTTAGATCTGTAAATGCTGATTATGCCAACTATAGATATATCTTAAGTGCATTATTTTAAACTAAGACAAAACTGTTGTATAGAAATGCTAATTTTCCCTAAAACAATTTATATTTTATATCTCCAAAGGAAACATATTTTGATGAAATTTATTTATTATTAAGTTACATCCTATCTAGATTTGGAAACTTTGCATACAAACAAAAGAATATGCACCCAGATGTTTGTGACAATTATTTGTCATCTTTTTGTTAATTGTTATGGATATAGCAAAAGACTTTGATAATAGAAAGGATACCAGTATATGACTGCAAAAGAAAGGTTGGCTATTGTTTTTTTTTGTTTTTGTTTTTGTTTTTGTTTTTTTTTTGAGAGGGCATCTCTCATATTTATTGATCAAATGGTTGTTAACAACAATAAAATTCAGTATAGGGGGGTCAATGCTCAATGTACAATCATTAATCCATCTCAACCCCAATTCTCGTCAGTCTCCAATCTTCTGAAGCATAACGAACAAGTTCTTACATGGTGAACGAATTCTTACATAGTGAATAAATTCTTACATGGTGAACAGTACAAGGGCATTCATCACAGAAACTTTCGGTTTTGATCATGCAATATGACCTATAAACAATCAGGTCAAATATGAATATTCGTTTGATTTTTGTACTGGCTATTGTTTTTAAACTGTTGGTATGTTTAATATAAATATTCCAACAGATTGCTGAACAGTTAAATTACTAAGGAATACATGTGCATTGAGTAATTATTGACCTTGTTCTCTAAATTCTAGCTGTCTTAGAAAAGATTTTATTAGAAGCTACATCTCTTTGACCTGAATCTAAGTCTCATCAGTGCCTCTGCCTCTCCCTCCTAAGAAATTACTTTTTGTTTCCTTAACATCAGTCTTGTAATTCATCTAACTTTGTTTTATGGCAGAAGTGTTTTTTTTCCCCTTTCAGAAATAGTAAAAATGGAAACTTTCTCTGCTTTCTAAAGCTATCAGGAAGAGTTAGATCTAGGATCCTTTTTTAGTTTTGTTTTTGATAGTTTAATGGAGATAAATTAGAAAATACAGTAGGCAAAAAGATTTAAAATGCACCCATTTAGCCCTCCACTTGACACCCACCTGGTAACATTTTGGTGCATATTTTTTCAAGTGTGCATGTACACACACACACACTTTTATTTAATGGAATAAGAAATGTCGTACCTGTGTTTTTAATATTTCTATTGTTACATTTCTTTATTTTTGGATGCACTACCAGAGGCATAAACATCTTACAGAATGACATTTCTACAGTAATACTTTGCAAAATTGTTGGAGTCTTTTGAATTAAACTTGGTAATTACTGTTTTATTTTGGTACGTTACTTACATGAAGACTGTTCTGTGGAATGTCATGGTGGTCTTTTTATTAGGTAATGATTTTATTCCTTTCATTTAAGCAAGTCGGCATGCGGAACTTGATACCCCAATACAGAAGAAAAGTGTCTTTGGGTTCAGCTCCCTCTTACTTAATTTTGTAGCAATGTTTAAAGTGCTTGACATCTCTTGTAAAATAAGAAAAATGAATTATGCATGAATACAAGAAGAAATTACTAAGTATGTTGACCTTTCCAGAAAATTAGGAAAATGAACACCTCAAAAGGCTAATTTACCTTTCTATTTCCCAAATTCAGCATGCCCCAAATTACCATACAACAAGGAGACAAGCCCTTCTTTCTACTTTGCCAGTGAGTTGGGTTTTTTATACTAATTTTAATTGAACAGTAAAACACTTTTTAAAGAATACATGTTAAGGGAGTAGACTTGTTGAGCAATAATATTTCCCTTGTACCAGACAAAATCGTTAAAAATATGTTTATCTGTAAATAATTCAGTTTTCAAAAAGGAAATATAACCCAGCTTAAGAAAGCTGGAGTTAATAAAAAATTGAGTTATTTCAGAAATTAATTTTTGCATACCAAGCAAACATGTGACTGTTTTGGGGGGAAAATGCCTAATATTTTTCTTGTTCAGAGCAACTCTTTCTGTCCAAACAGCTGTTTTTGTTTCAATCCAAGCCACAAACTTAGTATAAGAAGTTTTAAATGTTAGTTTTATGGTAAGAAGAAATTTATCCTTACAAGGATTTTTAATTGAATAGGGTTGAAATACTAAGGGAGAAAATTATCCTGCCTTTTCAGTCTTTCTATGACTGAAGGTTTAAAAGATTCAGGTAGCAGACACCTCAGGATGTTCTTGAACTTAAGCAGGAGAGCATGACCCAGCAGCATGCTTCCTACCAGACTATCTTTGGCAACACCAGCCCCCTCTCTTCTCCACCAATGAAAAGGTGAATCATTGCTCCTAAATGGAGACCGTCTGGGCAGGGCTTTCCCTTGGAAATGAACTTGCAAGGTGTGTTTTCTCTGTTTGTAGGGCTATTTTTAAATAAGGCTAGTCAGGGATTTTTGGCATTTAGATAGGAAAGGTACTGCTAACTTGCAGAAGTCCTTTAGAAATTTATGCCAGTAATATGTGTCACTTAGTGTGAAATGCTATATTCTGGGGGATATTAAGGATTAACATTTTGTTAGGGATTAATTCTGAATAATTTTAGAGTGACTCAATGTCTGAATCTACTAAATGCCGAATTTTAAAAAGCATTTAGAAAACATTTTGACTTAAATTTTCATTAATTGTGCCATGACTTGGTATCCAAAAATAAGTGTGTACAAATTATTTATTTGGTGATAGGAAATGTTAACAAATTTAATCCTTTAATAGATGCTCTTTAAAAAGGAGTCTTGCTGTATATCTATGCTATTAAAGGGAAACTATGTATGTGATACAGTATGTAAAAGACAGTGTCAGTAATTAATTTTATTATGTACGGAGTTTGCAGTCTCAAATTTAGTTATCCTCACCATCTTACTGTCTCTGTTAGTAATTTTGGAGTCAGTTTCCTGGGAAGTAGTTAAAAGGTCCTTAATCGTCATACCTAAGCATTAACTGCCTTAGCACAACTCCTAAAAGGGAATATCAATACTTTTTTAAAAGAAACTAACAGTGGGGCCTCTATTTGTAATTTAATTTGCTGCTTTGTACCCTCCATTCCACCCCCCACCCTTCTAAGTCATTTTATCATGGTTTGGTCTGGTTGCCTTTTATTCCTCTTATAAAGAGTTTTCAACTTCCATTTCCTTCCTTTTTTTCAGAATTTAACATCAAATTTAAAAGTTGGAAGATTTTCTTTTATTCCATTTTTAAAGTTTTGCAGTGCTGGTGATCTCTCATGACTTGTCCATCCAGGGTCAAAATGACAAAAACCTACTTTCAAATTAAACACAGCCTTACGGACTGAATTGGCTTCAGTAAGATCACGGTTTAGGAAACTATTTTTTAAATGTGGTTAGTGTTTTGCAGATTTGACATCAAATATTTGGAGTTTTAAACATTCATATTAAGGGACACAATGAGTGGGAAACTTTTGGACTAGGTCTGGCCCCAAAAGTGATAAACTTCTTTCATTGGCTTGATCTAATCCAGGTTTTATGAAGGCAATTTAAGTTTTAAGAAGTTTAACTGATAAATAGCTAAATGAGAATTTTGAAGAAAATTCAGTTTACTTTTAACCTCTTTAGCCAAATTAATGAACGTGTATAATAAAAGCAGTTAAATCAGCTCAGGAAAGCCCAGAATTTACTGCCTTTTGCTCTCCACTCTCCCTTTCCCTGATTCTGTTAACATTTTTTTATTGCTGTATATTCCATCTTGGTTCTTTTATCTCTCTCTTCCCTTCCAACCTTTTTTTCCCCCTCAGCCTTATAATTTACCTTTGGTCATCCCACCTTTCTGTCTCATTCTTAACTGGACTTTCAAGGAACCAAACTATATTTTTGTTACAAGTATTGAATTAAAGTGTAAGTTTCACATTTTTCCAATTAGCTTCTCAGTTATTGTATCAGAGTGGGGACAGAATTCCTGGATAAGGTGCTTGCTTAGCAAATATCTTCTAAGCAGAAGATGAATAAAGGAAAACAATTAAACCTCCTTACATTTTATTTGCAGCTTATGTATATTTACATGTTTTATTTTTCTTATAATGCATTGTAATTTATTGGTGTTTAAGTAGGGAAGGATGGGTTTTATAAACAAAATCCTACATAGATGTACTCAGCTTGGATTAAAGTGTTTGTGCTATGAATGCAAATGAGATGTAGATTAGAATACTCTTATTTTATAGCCTTTCAGTATTGGTTAACTATCACAGAGCTGTCTTTTAAAAATGTATGGTAAAAAATATTTTATTTTTAATTGTTCCAAGATTCAGTATTTTAACATTTTTCAAAATGATGAATAACTTAATTATGAGACCTATGGGCATAAATTTTCTCGGTGAGGCCATACGTTTTTTTGTTGTTGTTATTATTAATTTACAATTACATGAAGAACATTATGTTTACTAGGCTCCCCCCTTCACCAAGTCCCCCACACATACCACATTACAGTCACTGTCCATCAGCATAGTAAGATGCTATAGAATCACTACTTGTCTTCACTGTGTTGCACAGCCCTCCCCATGCTACCCGCCTACATTATACATGCTAATTGTAATGTGTGAGCCATATTTTTATGTGAAAATCAATTAACTTGAACCCCTAGAGTTATTTATTTTTATCATTAATCTACAATTACATGAAGAACATTATGTTTACTAGACTCTCCCATTCACCAAGTCCCCCCCACAAACCCCATTACAGTCACTGTCCATGTGCATAGTAATATGTTGTAGAATCACTACTTTTCTTCTCTGTGTTGCACAGCCCTCCCCATGCCCCTCCCCCACCATATTATACATGCTAATCGTAATACTCTCTTTTTCCTTGCCCTTATCTCCCTCCCTTCCCACCCAACCTCCCCAGTCCCTTTCCCTTTGGTAACTGTTGGTCCATTCTTGGGGGTGATTCTGCTGCTGTTTTGTTTCTTCAGTTTTTCTTTGTTCTTATACTCCACATATGAGTGAAATCATTTGGTATTTGTCTTTCTCCGCCTGGCTTATATCACTGAGCATAATACCCTCTAACTCCATCCATGTTGTTGCAAATGGTACGATCTGTTTTTTTCTTATGGCTGAGTAATATTCCATTGGATATATGTACCACATCTTCTTTATACATTCATGTACTGATGGACATTTAGGTTGCTTCCATTTCTTGGCTATTGTAAATAGTGCAGTGATAAACATAGGGGTGCATCTGTCTT